ATTATTGGTCATTTTAGATTTTCCAATAAAACATTAATTGCATAATTTTCAATTTACCCCGTAATCACTCTTAATTAATTAATTGAGAATCAACTAATGTCAAGGATATTTTAGTAATGGTATATGTTCTTTTACTATAATCTATGCACATTTATTGATTTTCTTAATATGTGCAAAACAACCCAAAAAGACATTTAAATTGGGATGGAGGGAGTAAGACAGAGGGAGTAATTATTTGTCTTCTATCCTATAAATTAATTTATATTCGCCAACCTCTAATTACACCTTAATTTACATATTTAATATCTTTATTATAGGTGTGACCACATCGGATTATTGCCCAATCGAGCTGAGTGAACTGCACGCGTTCTTGGTAATACATAACCGTTTACAGCTCCCTCACTGAGCAAAGTAAGTTTCTTCTTCTTCTGCCCGTATGGGTGTAGCTCAACTGGTTCCAGAGGTGGTAAGTTGGTGCAAGGTCCTAGGCTCGAATCCTGGCAGCCGCAGTGTGGGAATTTCAACTCCAATGAGTTGATTCCTTGTGGGCACCAGGTCCGGGTCCGCTACCTTAACTGGCCGTTGAGTTACCATGATTTACATTCCTCTATCAATCCTTGCCGGGCCAAGGGATGGCGGCCCTAGGCAAGGGATTTCGCCTTTTGATGCAAGTTTCTTCTTCTTCTTCTTCTTCTTCTTCTTCTTACTTACTCCTCAGTAATAAATAAATAAATTAAGTAATTAAAAAAAATAATTTACCAAGGGCTAAAACGTAAATTTGCTAAACAAATTAATTGCTATTTAATTTCGGAATACGTCCTTAAAACCCCAGTTTGTGTCTGTGTGCGCGCGCGCGCGTGTGTGGTGGATCTGCCGTCTGCGCTCTTTGAAGTTTTGTTGCAGACTTGCAGTACAACAATGGCAGCAGAATCAAACAACCTTGATGAAATATTGACGCCGTTTTACCAAAGAGCTACCGAAGCCGAGGTTTTCTATCTTAATTCTTACACTCGCCGTCTTTTTTTTTTTTTAATTTAAATTTTCGATTTTGGTGCCCTAATTTTGATGGATTCCTATTTTTGATGTATTTTTACATGATTCATTAGCTGTGTTATTTGGGGGTGTTTTTTAGCATGTAATTGTACGTTGCCCCAAATCCTCAAAACCTAATTAATTTTTTTTTTACTATGAGAAATTACTTAATGATGCAATTTGGGATAATACAATAAGTAATTTGCATTGTTGCTTTTGTGATAATTCTGTGAAGGGGGGAGTTGTACATATGCATCATGTGTTCTATGTCAAAAAAAAAAAAAAAAACGTGTTTTAGACAATCGGTTACAATCGCAGCAAATTCAACCCAGATTTATTTCCGAGTCGAGGAACAGAAACTTGAAGTCGCAGAACTATATATATTAGTATTCATAAATGGGAGTATACAAAGTGTTTTTGCCTTGTGCTATATGTACTATTAAATCCGATGGCAATAAAACGATATGTTAATGCGGCGGCGTTTATAAGTCGTTTTTTGAGTCATTGATTTTGTTGGAATATCTGTCTTTGTGTTACTACATTAACAAGTTCGATACTTTTGTTTGGTTTAAAGGAACGCTTGGCAAAGCTCGAAGCTTCCCTGTCCAAAAACAAAGGTCTGTCCAAACGACTTTTCTTCGTACTTATTTAGTTAAAATCTAGACATAAAAAGTACTTACTCTAATTCTTGTCCGAATGTGGAAATTGTATTGTGTTCGACAGAGGAACAGAGTAAGCTGATTAGTGAACTCCGGTTAGAATTAGAAAATGCAAAAGCCGAGCAAATTTCTGAAAGAGAAAAGGTACGTAATTGTGTTACTTAATGTTATTAAAATAATAATAAAATATTACAGGCTTGATTATTATCTATATGTCTCAGGCTATAAAGGAGGTGAAGGAACTTACTGCTGAAAATGGAAAGCTAAAATATCGGATAATCCATCTCGTTCGAGCAGTGCGCGAAGCTGATGCTGCTGCCTTGGAGTTTGTTTCATCTAAATTGAAAGAAACGTATGCATTCGTTGTTTTCTTCCTTTTTTTTAATAAATAAACGGAAAAATGTTTTCAAATTTCAATTGATCATCTTATCTCATTATTTGCTATTCTGCTTCTTCAAGATGCGAAAAATTATTTCATTCAAGACATATTTCAGACATGCACGAAAATTGCTCGTGTGATACACTTGATGACAATTTTTTATCTTTTTTTGGTTTGTGCAGCAATCTTGTGGACGACGCAAAACTACCAGCTAGATAACAAGTATGAGCTTTTCGTCTGGGATATATTTATTCTGCATTTTTTTTCTTGATTTATTTACCTCTTACGGTGTCGAGTTTCTTGATAGAACAATTTGATTATCCATTATTTCGCGAAGTGGTTTTCGTTTCGGACATTGTTGACTGTAATATAATCTTCTAGCATGTCTGAGGTGACATTGTCTATCCTCTTTGACTGATATTTTGCAAGTTAACAGTATTTGGTATTCTCTCTCTTTAGTAAATAAGTTCCAAATCGAAAACGTGGTTTTCCAGTCTTGAAATAAAAGCGTGTGTAGTTTATTGTTGTTTTTTACTTGTAAGCGTTG